CTCATGCATAAAGAATAGGTTTTGACTGTAAATTGTTTTTAATTGCTGGTTGAATGTTGTAGTTACTTGAATATTATAGATACAATGGTGGCAGAAATATTTTATTCCTATGATGAAACAGAATTGTTTTGTACTACATTTTCATTGGTTGTGCATTTTTAACTTAATATGTAGTGCTGTAGCTTAATTAGTTGTTTTAATTGTTTTTTTTTTCTAGTAAGCAGTGGCTTGCTACACCAGTTGTACACAGATTCTTATCATTGATTGCTATTCAAAGATGCCCCCACAAGCACACCAGTCAATGAAAAGCAACATAAATCAAGTACTGTAAAATGAGCACACGATTTTCCTAAATTATTTATAGAAAATGTTTAATAATAACATAAAGAATATTAATAATATACTGTGTATTAATATTATGCATAATATAAAATCATTTTTTATTTATATTTTTTTAATTTTAACCATCCAACAGTGAAAGCCAATTTACATTACAGGATTTCTTAAATACATTATATAAAAACATTAAAAAATGATTGTTGTATTGTTATTGTTGTTACTGATATTACTGAATTATTGATTCTGATTTATTAAATTTTAGTTTTGGTTGATATTAACAATGTGTCTTGTCTTTTTTTTCTAGTGATTTTTTTTGTACTGTATGAATAACACGGAATGTAATGGAAATTACCTTTTCATTAAATAGTAAAGCCTACTGTAAAAATTAATGAATCTTATGATGTTTTATATGTATACAAATGTATAAAATATATCTGTATGCATTGTGTGTGAATAGTTAGTACTGTATACACATTATACATTGCTAATAAAGGTAGGGTTTTTTTCAGTTTTTAAGAGTTTTTTTATGGTTTAATAAAGTATATTGTTTCAAAATCATTGTAGAAAAATGGTTGGTCAACAGAATTTTTAATTGTGTTGTGGGCGGTTACATTGCTTTTAAAATTTACAGGTGATTTAAATTCTATAACATGGCACATTGAATTATAAAGGTGATTTTCATCCTGTAACAGGGTACATTAAGTTTTTACAGCACATACAGGAAGAGGTTCTATTCAGCAAGTAGTTTAAGTGTGCATACCAAAGTCAAGCAATACCTTGCTGCTCATGGTAATACAAATTGTTGTAATATTGTACTTAGCTTGAGTGTATTTATGTGGTCCAGTCATATTACGTTTACATTTATGGATTTCAGTTGGTTGTGGACCAGTACACCTCTGGGGTATGGCAGCATTTTTGGAAGAAAAAATTATAATAGAGTTATCTCTTCACGAAAAATAACTTTAAACTGCATCCTCCATATACTATATGTACATCTAATGTGTTCAGGAATGATAATAGTATTAAATATTCCATAGTGTCGAAGTGCAAGTTCCGGAAGCCAGGGCATTGGCCTGAAGTTGTGCTAGAATCTATTCTTTGTAGTAGAATACTGGGTATTATATAGTTTGACTCTATAGGTTAATATCTTATTGAAATGTCCTGAAGCACCTTTTGACTAACTGCCGAGAGCCCATGCATTGTGCCGTTAGTGGTTTCACACTTTGAGGGGTTTTTTTGCCTGCCACCTCTGAAACTGCTACTGTATCCCAAATTCTGGGGCCTGTGGGTTTTTGTTTTGCATTTCTGTCACACTACTGTACTACTGTACCTAAAATATTGCAATGTAACATTTGCACTATATTATTTATGATTTTGATAGGCCTATGTACACTTTTTAGAACATGAACGAAGAAATGGGTTATCCTTGTGAGCTTCTGAAAAACAAGTCTGATTTGACTGAGCGCATTATCTGTGGTGTGTGTAATCTAATTCTGAAAGACGTAGTCCAACATGAATGTGGGCATCGCTTTTGCAGTCCCTGTGCCCAGAAATTACAAAGGTAATGTTTTTTATCGTGATTTAAATTTAGCCCACATACAGGTATTCAGTTTTTATATGACAAATACCGTAAAATTTTGAATTAAGTTCTGAGATTAAAGAATTGCAAAAGGTAAACTCATTTTTATTGATGTTCTTATTTTCTTAAATATGAAATTACTGTATTTGTTTTCTTTTAAATATTGAAACCTCATCACATTTAAAATATTTTTTATGATGTAGGAGTTTGTTTCATGATCTTTTTGAACTTACAGTGTATGAATTTGAAATTATTCTCACCAATGAATTATCGGACACAAACTGTAAAGAATACCATTATTATTTGCTGTATTGCATGCTTTGGATTGATAATAAAATAACGGAGTATGTTAGAATAGCATTGGCCAAAATTAGTAACCCTAGAATGCTAAATGATTACAGACCTATTGCTCTTACTGCCGTGCCTAGGAAATGCTTTGAAAAACTAGTTAAATGCGAGATCCTTAATGAAACCAATGATAAAGCAGATCCATATCAATTTGCTTACCGTCCTAAGAGAGGTGTAGAAGATGCCATTACTACCCTATTGCATAAAATTCTTGTTCATCTAGAGAGTGCTGATGCATATGCTAGAGTTTTATTTTTAGATTTTTCCTCAGCTTTTAATACAATTAAACCTCATATTTTAATGGAGAAGATGAATGTTTTAGGTATTAACCCATCTCATATTTTATGGATCAACAACTTTTTAAAGGATAGGGAGCAATTTGTCTGTTTTAACAAGTTTAACTTTGATATACGTACGTGCAATACTGGAGCTCCCCATGGCTGTGTTTTATCTCCTTTTCTTTTCTCTTTATATACTAACGATTTTAAATGTACAAATAAACAAGTTTTTACTGTTAAATATGCAGATGACACTTGCCTAGTTGGCCTTGTGAAGGATTATGACACTCGGGTATATCTTAAGAATGTCGATCGCTTTTCAACATGGTGCCAAGATAATTATTTAAAGTTAAATGTTAAAAAGACAAAGGAGATTATCGTTGATTTTAGAAAAGGCAACAAGACACATGATGACCTTACTATTATATATGATAAGGTTGAAATTGTTAAACACCATAAATATCTTGGTATGTTTATTGATGATAAGCTTGACTGGAAAGAGAATACAAAGCACATTACCAGTAAGTGCAATCAGAGTCTGTACTTCCTAAGACATTTAAAGAAATTTCATGTATGTAATAAAATCATGGTACTCTTTTATGAATCAGTCATTTTATCAATTCTAACTTTTAGTGCACTAGTCTGGTTTTATAACCTTGATAAACAGAACATGAAAAAAGTTGTAAGAATTAGTAGAACAGCTGACAGAATTATTGGGACTAAAAACAGTAAGAATATAGAAGTTTGTGTTAACAGTGCAATGTGTAAAAAAATGGAAGTAATTATATCAGATGTTAATCACCCTCTTAATCAGTACCTCGCCTTCAGCAGGACTGGACATATGTTATATCCAAGGATGCGGACAAATAGAATTTGTAAATCATTTCTCCCAAGCGCTATGAGACAATTTAATAATATGTGGAAAAGATAGGCCTATGCTGTATACCCCAATCTGCTTGCCTTTGCCAAAGCTGATTTTTTACAGAATGTTTAACCAATTTTAACCCCTTTTTAATGTTTTTAGCCATTTTAACCTTTTAGCAGACTTTTATTGTTTTTAAATTTTTGCTGTTTCCTCTGTGATTTTATCTTTTGTGTCTTGTTTTAACTTACATATAGTCACAGATTCAATTCAATTCAATTCAACTTTTATTTTCAAACACAGTGAGAACATGGTTTGAAATTCTTCTTGTTTGTTCACAGTTAAAATTTTAACTGTGAACAAACAAGAAGAATTTCAAACTATGTTCTCACTGTGTTTGAAAATAAAAGTTGAATTGAATTGAATTGAATTGAATCTGTGACTATTACAGCAAACTACTGTAATAGGAATTCTTAACATAGGAATACTAATAAAGGTTTTTTTTATCTGTTTATCTAGTTTTTGATTTATATAGTTGGGAGTCTTGGTTTTACCATGGGTCTGAAGTTTCGAGGGTATGAGGTTTATAGGGTGTTAGGCCTTAACTTAGTTATCAAGGTCTTAGTTTCTACACACCTTTGTAAATAAGTAAAAAGTGGTTGAAATGAAAACATAGTGAACTTTCCTAAGGGTTTCTTTTTTCATAATGATGTAGGGATGTTATTTATGAAATTTGATTTTTTAACTCAACAGTGATCCTCAGCCTCAATTTTGTCCACGATGTCCTTGTGATAGCCAGGAAGCTCCCATAAGGAGAGTAAGTACTGCAAGTTTTTGAAAATACTGATCAAATAAAAATACCATTAAAGCAGTAAGGAAAATCATTGGCAAATTTCATTAATGATTTTTGTGATAAGAATGTACTTCAAATAATGGAATTTATTATTACTGACGGCACTCATCCACTAAATGAATGTATAAAGTTTTAATAGATCAGGAGGATTTGCCAACCTAGTTTATAAAACGAACAGAAAACTCATTGTCTCCATATGCATGTCACATATACCAACATATGTATACCAGATAACCACATCTCATTATAACATTAACTTCTGAACTCATTTACCTCTTTACCGTGAACAGCAGGCGTACAACTCAATTAGATCTTCTTTCACTTTACTGTATATATTTTAAGTTTAACTGTAATTTAAGTATTTTTTGCACTGTACAGTATATAGTTTAATATTTCTCTTGTAATTTAATTTGTATGTATGTTTTGTGTATTCTTAGCTCTGGAAAAAAAAGTTCATGTACTGTACTGGTTTTATTTCTATATGACAATAAATTGAATATTGGATCTTGGAATTACAGGTAAAATTTTCTTTGATCATCGTATCCTTAACAGATTTATCCAGATTTTGCCGGACGGAAAGAGATCCGATTGCTGAAAGTGAAATGCCCAAATTCAAGCTGCCCGTTCGAAGGAAACCTGAATGAATACATTACAGTGAGACATTTCTATGCAATTAAAATATTTACTAGTGGCACAGCTAGTATGCTCTCAGAGATAAATAATATACCGTAGTGGGAAAAAATATTTGGAAAAAGGGGTTCTACAACCTCAGATAAATGTTTTCATTCAACCTTTCTAGAATATACATTAACAGTCAAAATAATCATTTGTCTTCATTTCAAGAATCATCAAGATATATGCCCTCTAGCTAAAGTACCATGCACAGCCTGTGGCCGACAGATGAAACGTGTGGAATTGCAGAATCACTGTTTGCGTGATTGTACAGAGCGTACAATAACGTGTCACTGGTGCAATGCCAAGTTGGTTCACAAGTCCATGAAGGTACGTCAACTTATTCCAACTTTCTTTTTTTTAAAAGTTGTCTCAGTTTAAGTATGTAGATTTTATGGTTTTATTGAGAAACCATATACCACTATTAAATTATTATACTAATCATCAACTTGATTTGACCTTAAACCAAGACATATTTTTAATAGGAAAATTAAAATTGGAAAGCATTTTCTTTTTTGTAGCAACACAATAGTGTATGCCCTAAGCTGGAGATTCTTTGTGAAATTTGCAAGAAGTCAAAATTACCAAGAGAAGAGGTTTGTTCATTCTCTATTGTTTCAATAGAACATACATTCCATATTACTGTACCGGTTGTCATTTTAATTTTTACATATCTGAAACTACTGTTTTTATGTTTATATAATGGAGGGATTCGGCGATGATTTTATTTTTATTTATTTGTTCTTTATACTGGGTTTCCTCTTCAGTACACCAAGGTAACCCCCTACTCATCTCAAGAGATGTACTGGGTTCTTTAAAGTGCACAAGAGCATATTTGTGTTCACTGGGCCTACGGTTTATAGTCCTTATCCTAGAAGACTTGTTCCACCACCAGAACTATAGGAGCGGGCCGGCCGCGAACCTGTGCCGATATTGTTGGCTATGATCACGATGCCCCTGCCTTAACCGCTCGGCCATTTGGCTTGCTTTAATTGATTAAAGGCGGTCATGTTGCCCTCCTTGGGTATACCTGAAAAACATTACAGTTCAAGAGCATAGGAAAATGTGATATGATCGAAGCTTGTAACCTCTTAAATAATAAATATGATAATTCTATATCTAGTTTTTTGCACCTAAGTACTTTTGATAGAACATGTGGACATTTCTTAAATTATTGAAAGAGCAATCATGCATCGACGTGCAAAGGATATAGAGGACTATAGTCCTGTATCTAGTACAAAAGTAAGTAAGTATTCTTTACAGCATTATCAAACGATTAAGGCAGTTTAATTTTTAGTTTAATTTTCAATCAATTTCGTATAGTTTACTGGAAATTATAATGATCTTTACAGCAATAAACAAGGCACGACCACCATAACAATCTCCATGTAAAACACTGCTGTCCCAATCGACTGTTTATGTCCTACACCCGAGTTAGGTCATGTGACACCCATCGCTGAATCCCTCTATTTAATTGTACTTCTACTGATTTTTTTTTTTGATTTTTTTTTTTTTTTTTTTTTTTTTTTTTTTTTTTTTTTTTTTTTTTTTTGTAGTTTTATAATGATCTCATTACAGTACATTTTTTTACATCCAAAGATGAAGTTACACCAAGATCCAGAGAACGGAGACTGCCCTCGGCGTAAAAGATGTTGCAAATTTCGAATGGTTGGCTGTGAGTTCACGGTAAGTGTTATAAGTATTTGATATGCACATATTAATCATAATACACTAATTGGTAAGTGAAAGAAAAATATATGTAGATGCATTCAAACATTTACAGTATACTGTATCTTGGGAGTGAGAAACCTAGAATTATAGTGCCAATTTATAGATAAGTTATGATTTTTAAGACAATATTAATATTACAACCAAACACTAAAGTTCAATATTTGATTTAGGAAAAATCCATTTGGAAACAAACCTTTATCAAATGCTTATGACCTTATTTTTTTTATATTTTTTTTTTATGACTTTTTTGTTTTGTTTGATTTTGTAGCTTTTGATGTGGTTCCCTTTATTTTTTCTGCTTTTTGGTCTAAAGCTGTACCTTTCATTTCCTTTAGTTATTGATTGGAAAAGCCATATAAAATACATTGCAAATAAGATTTCAAAGTCCATTGGAGTAATTTCCAAAGTTAGACAATGCTTTCCTAGAAACATTTACATTTAACCTTTACAATTCATTGATACTGCCCTATCTTCAATACTGCAATGTTGTGTGGGGAAACGATTTCCCTTCAAATCTTGACAAACTTTTCAAGTTACAAAAACAGGCAATCCGGATCATCACTGCTTCATCCTACCGGACCAGCTCCCAGCCACTTTTCTACATGCTTGACCTTTTAAAACTATCAGATCTTAACAAGGTGCAGGTAACTTGTTTTATGTTCAAATATATCAATCACCAGCTTCCTAAACCAATGTATCATATATTTTGTGATAACATCAAACAAGCACATGGGCACCAATTAAGAAGCTCTATGGAAGTAAATATACCATTTGTAAAACTATCAAAAAGTCAATCTTTTCTTTCAGTTCATGGTCCCCATGTCTGGAACAATATAAGTAGTGATTTGAAATAATCTATTTCTGTGACAAAACTAAAATGTAAATACAAAAGGCAAATTATTCTACAGTACTATAATAAAAAATCTATCTCTGTGGTTAGACATAAAATGTAAAGTACAAATGGCAAATTATCTACAGTACTCTCAAAAGAAAACCCAATGGATGATTGAAATTAACTAAAATGCTCTTTAAAAAATAATTATGATAGTTCAACCAAATTATTACTTTTATTATATTTTCCTCTTTATTTTATTTTATTTTATTTATTTTTTATTTATTTATTTATGTGTACATGTCTATGTTAAGGGGCAGTTTAGACAAGCCTTCTGCTTTTCAACTGTCCCTTGTCAACTTTGTTATTTTATTTTGAATGGTTAATATTATACTTTCGAATTAATGTGGATGAATAAATTTTATATTGAATTGAATTGAATTGTTTGTGAACTGTCTAATTTCATTTTACCGTTTTGATGTTGCTCTTTTCCTTTCTTAATGTATGTTAATTTTACTGTCATTTCCTTGTTGATTCATTTGATTTAGGTTTCATTAACTGTTTAATGATTTTCATTGTACTGTATTTTTTAGATTGAAATAAAAATCAACAAACCAACCTAGACCCACTCAACAATTTTAGTGGTGTTGACCAAAAAGATTGAATATTGATCTTAATTAAACAACAGACAGTGGGTCACTTGTTGGCTGTTCTTTATTGTGATCGGAACGTATAGGATCTTAAATTATAAAAAAAATCAACAAATTGATCCAGAACATAAAATCACTATTTTCTTTAGCGCCTTTGGCCTCTTGACAACAACTGAACACTTACTCAGGATGTTTCGATCTGTAACAGAGAACTTTATCAACTGACTGCTAGATGGAATTGCATATTGGTCATGGCGTCATCTGTTGTTGAGGTTGTGTGGGGCCCAGCCAAATGATGGTGTACAGTAATTAAATCATTGTACTGTACATGTTAGAAAGTTTATGTGCACTTGATCCATGTTTTGTTTTATCTCTCTCTAATGTGTAATGACTCTCTGGTCTGTCTCTCTTTCCGTTTTGGTTCAGTTGCAACCTATAACCAGAAGGAGATACAATGTCATCAACAGATGACATCATGACCAAAATGCAATTTCATCTTGCAGTCAGTTGATAAAGATATCTGTTGAAGATCGAAACATCCTGAGTACTAAGTACTGTACTCTGTCTCTTACTAGCTTTTGCAAAAAATATTTTGTCATCTATACAATTACAAAGCTAACTGAAATTTTTTAAAGATAAATGGTGAAAATTAAAAAATGTTCATGGAATAATTTCTTAAATGTATCTGCTATAAATTACCTAGGGAATTAAAAGCATTTTATATGTCATTCGTCTATTTTCACCCTCATTCTAGGCACCACAGGAGCAGATGCCAGGGCACTTAAAGAACAATCAGCAAGAACACCTAAATTTGATGAAGGCAGATTTCATCATTGTCCAAAAACAACTAGTGGCTGCTCAAGAAAAATTAAAAGATTACCAGTCTATGGACATGACAAATAGTGGAAAGAGTAGTAGTGTTCATTCTGATGAAATAGCTCAGAAGGTTGTACAGGAGTTGAAAAGGAAGGAAGGTAAACTAGAATTCCCAAAATTAAAAGATGATGTAGAAGTAGATGCTTTCAAATCAAGTGACATGAATCCTGGTGGGGCTAAAAATGGTGCGAGAAGGAAAATAGTCAATACAAACCAGGGCACCATTTTAAAAGAAGATGTTAGTCATAAATATACTGGATTACATAGCACCAATGAGATTGCTAAGCCGAAAACATCAACGCAGGAAACAGAGAAGCATCTGAAAGCAGCTGAACAAGCATATTTTTTGAAAGATGTAACATTAACAGAGCATTTTCTTCAAATTCAAAGCCTGGAAAATGCTGCGTATTGTGGGGTACTAGTGTGGAAGATCAAAAACGTCAGTCAGAAAAGAAGGGATGCCATCAGTGGCAAACATAATTCACTCTATTCACCATACTTCTTTACAAGTCGCTATGGTTATCGTGTCTGTTGCAGAATTCACCTAAATGGTGATGGCATTGGAAAAAATAATTATTTTTCAGCAACCCTTCTCCTACAGTCATACGACAGTGACCAACCATTTCCTCACCGAGTGCGGTTTGCACTCTTTAATCGTGACCATGTGAGGGATTTCATTGGAGGTTATACCCCTAATGGCTGCCTCACCTGTGAAACATCACCTTCAAGTTCAAATTTACTGATTATCAAACCTTGTTGTCCTCGTCTACTTCCACTTGGTCTTTTAAAAGATTTTGTGGATTTTTATGATGTACTCACAATTGAGGTACTTGTTGATTTTCGAAATAAGGTCCAATGCTCCAATGGCGGGTTGTGGGAAGAGCAGCGTCGTAAGTAGCCTAAATGGGCGTGGTCGTTCGTTGCTCAAAATATTTCGAATGTTGTCCAGGGAGGGAAAACCACCAGAACCTATGACAATTTAAGGGTTTCAAAGGCTTATTTACTAGAGTTAGAATCTAGTATAATGTGTAAAATATACATATAATTTTCTTTTTCCCCAGTGGGAGGCCCTTACACAGTGACGGTGCCAGCAGGGGACAGGGGGCCTTAAGTCCCCCACCAGACAGTTCAAGCCCCCCGCCGTACAGAGCTCGTCGGGCAGTCAGACCATAAAACATGTAAAAATAGGCCCACACCAAGCCAACACATGTCTTTCACAGTCTGAGAGTGCCGAGCCGATGATCTCAAGTCCCCCTGTCGGACAACTTAGGGCCCCCCAAAAAATATATCCGAGAGCCGCCATTGCCATTACACCCTGTCAACCTTTCGCCTCCACTACCTTAATCGATGACAGACACTTGAACTTAAAGACATTTGAATACTTATAAAATGGTGTTTAAATTTACACTGAAGAGAGAACTTAACTTCAGTAGAGGGGTTGGATTATATATCACAAGATATAAGACTGTACTATAATATATTTGTGATCAGTATAGTTTAATTTTATCATATTAAAATGTGCCTTGCTTTGATATATAATTAAAACCCAATAGTCTTGGCAGAAGCAATGTGATTAAGAATGTTGATTATAATCAGTACAAAGTGATATTAAATATATTTTAATTTTATCATATTGAAATGTGCCTTGCTTTGATATAGAATTAAAACCCACTAGTCTTGGCAGAGGCAATGTGGTTAAGAATGTTGATTATAATCAGTACTAAGAAATATTTTTCAAACTACACAGTACTGCTCGCACATTAGTACTGCTACCGCCCAATGACATGTGATACATAATCCAACTACGTCTAGAACTTTTTTCCGTCTTCTGAGTTTCTTAAATATTCATTGTAAATGGTTCTCTGTTGTCTATGGTATATGAATTAGCAATTGTAAGGGATTATTCTTATTTTAATTTAAATATTGATTTGCAATGTAGTAGAGATTGATAAAGTCAATAAAGGAAGATTTGAAAGTTCCATGAAAACTACAACTCCCCTCAAACTCAGTAGCCTCTGTCTGGTTGTTACTTAGTTGTATGTGGAGAAATTAAGTGTAGTTATGGCAACTTATTTGATGGGAATGTACACATTTATGTACAGTCATATTTTGAAATTGTCTTGTCTCTGATGAAAATATTTTTCCAGTGTGCTCAAGAATTTTGCTAATTAAAACAGTTGTCATGGAATAATCCATGACAATATCTTAAAATAGCAAAATATCTTGAACTTAATCTTAAAATGAATAAGTAAAGTCCAAATTTTGAGGTGTTAGTATAGCATTACTTTGAGGTGTGTGTTTGGCTGCTTGGGTCTGTTTTTAATTCCTGTGTAGTCACCCGTCTTCTAGATAACCCTTGCATTGACAATTAGGTAGATTAAGGCAAATGTTTGTTTCTGCATGTGTCCGTTAAATGTTGTAGTTAAGGTGAGGGGCACTGCACTATTGTAGCCTAAATTTCTAAATTGAATGTTGAAAAATATAGAGTAATTATTATTATTATTATTATTGTTATTGAAGGCAGTAAATCTACTTGAAAACTAAGAAGATTCAGTAATTTAATTCACTGAATTTTTTTCAGTTTCTCAACTCTCTCTGTACTAAGTACCTTGAAGGGGTGAGAGAGCTTAAGGGCATATTCACATTTGCAACAATAAACATGTTCATAACGTGCTCTATCAATGCAAAATAAACAAACAACAAATTAAAATGGGGAGCTGGGGTGATATTACAATTAATTTTTATTGTGGAAGTTTAAGAAAATCCCTAAAATTTATAATTTTAAAAGGAAAAATAAATACCAAAATTGAAATATACTTAATGCATTCTGTAAATGCTCTGTTGTAGAAAATATGATATAACGATGATAAATAGTAATGAGAGGTTAAGAAATATACGCAACACCCTTTTCTACCCTTGTAATTGTGTTCGGTGTCAAGCAGTGAATATTAAATAACTTAGTCCAAAACTAACAATATATAATCAACATTAAAGGCGCGACACTACAAGTTTCTGTCTTGTTATCCTAGGAAGTTTACTATAATAAAGTACCCCAAACATTGATAGAGCATCTGATAATTCTATACTAACTACGCAGTCCTGACCCGACTAATGTATTATATAAGCAAAAATACAAATGAATGTGTCTGAACTAAAACTTAGTTAACCTAATAATAATGATGATAATAATAATAAATAATAATAGTAATAATATTTTGTATGAAATTTTTCATTAGTGTTGATCCAGCAAAATAAAAACCAATAGTACTCACACTACGTTTCGCGAACGATCCGTTCGCTTTTTCAAGTAGACTGGTGATGTTATTTCCAGTCTGGTCTGACGTCACCTCGGTGT